GTGGTCGTCATTGTCACCAGAATCATCAATAGTGCGGTCGTCATTGTCACCAGGGTATTCAATAATGTGGTCGTCATTGTCACCGGGATCATCAATAATGTGGTCGTCATTGTCACCGGGATCATCAATATTGTGGTCGTCATTGTCATCAGCATCATCAATATTGTGGTCGTCATTGTCACCAGGATCATCAATATTGTGTCGTCATTGTCACCAGAATCATCAATATTGTGGTCGTCATTGTCACCGGGATCATCAATAATGTGGTCGTCATTGTCACCAGGATCATTAATATTGTGGTCGTCATTGTCACCAGGGTATTCAATAATGAGGTCGTCATTGTCACCGGGATCATCAATAATGTGGTTGTCATTGTCACCGGGATCATCAATATTGTGGTCGTCATTGTCATCGGGATTATCAATATTGTGGTCATCATTGTTACCAGGATCATCAATATTGTGGTCGTCATTGTCATCAGAATCATCAATATTGTGGTCGTCATTGTCATCAGGATCATCAATATTGTGGTCGTCATTGTCATCAGAATCATGAATATTGTGGTCGTCATTGTCACCAGGATCGTCAATATTGTGGTCGTCATTGTCATCAGAATCATCAATATTGTGGTCGTCATTGTCACCAGAATCATCAATATTGTGGTCGTCATTGTCACCAGGATCATCAATATTGTGGTCGTCATTGTCACTAGGATCGGCAATATTGTGGTCGTCATTGTCACCGGGATCATCAATATTGTGGTCGTCATTGTCATTAGGATCATCAATATTGTGGTCGTCATTGTCATCAGGATCATCTATATTGTGGTCATCAATGTCACCAGGGTATTCAATAATGTGGTCGTCATTGTCACCGGGATCATCAATAATGTGGTCGTCATTGTCACTGGGATCATCAATATTGTGGTCGTCATTGTCATCAGCATCATCAATAATGTGGTCGTCATTGTCACCAGGATCATCAATATTGTGGTCGTTATTGTCACCAGGATCATTAATATTGTTGTCGTCATTGTCACCAGAATCATCAATATTGTGGTCGTTATTGTCACCAGGATCATTAATATTGTTGTTGTCATTGTCACCGGGATCATCATTATTGTGGTCGTCATTGTCACCAGGATCGTCAATATTGTGGTCGTCATTGTCATCAGAATCATCAATATTGTGGTCGTCATTGTCACCAGAATTATCAATATT